CAGGTCCCAAAATCTTTTCTCATGACAACCATTGTCATGTAAACTTTACCATCAGAAAAGATAAGACTACACTCATCCTTTGGATTTCAGCTTAGGTTTTCTCTCTTCTAGGAAGACTTCCAAGATGACTGTTCCTTCCCTTGTATCCCCTTCTAGGCCATAAGCTTTTTAGGGACTGAGACTTGTTTTTTGTTTTAATTTTGGCTCCAGTCCCCTCCAGTATGGAGAGTCTGTAGCAGACATAAATTTTGTGAAAAATCAGAGTAGCATGCATATGAGACTGTCTGAGCCATTCCATGCTTTGAAAACAAGAGCTGCACTCCACAATAGGATTTCTGCAATGCCTTTGTTGCGGGGTTACACAGAGCATGTTAACAGGCTTTTTGTGGTGTCATTGATGGAGAGTTGGACAGTATTGTAGATTTCAGACAAGGTGAATATTAGTATTTGAGAAATGAATCAAATACTTGAAAGGTTTGTCAACCTTCAATCAATTCTGCAAGCATGCAATAAGCACCCCCCCAAAATATTGTATGTAATTCAGTGGCTGAAGAACATACTTTGACACCATATTTAATGTCACTGTCAGTCACAAGAGATAGTGCAGTAATAGGAACACAGCTTTGAAAGGCAGTTTGCCTGCATTCAGGTCCTACTTTTCCCTCTTAAACTACTGGCAGGTTATTAAGCCTTTGTGTTCTTAAGTTTCTTAATGTTTAAATGAGTAAAAATATTATTTATTTCACGGAGTTGCTGTAAGAATTAAATAAGCTATAACATGTAAAACACTTAGAACAATATTTAGCACATAATTAGTAATCAATAAAAGTCTGATGTTTTCATTAGAATGACAGAGTATTGTTTAGTTAGCTAATGAAATACCACTTTTTCTTGCTTGCCTTTTCTGCATGTTGACACAGTTGTAGTATAATAAATAATAACTTTTGCAGTTTCCAGGACTAAAATTTGGAACTATTGCTCATTATTTTATATGCATCTCATAAGTTGCTTATTGTTTATTTCTGTCTGATACAGAGCATTCTACATAACTTAGCATTGAATTTTTACTGAAAAATGAGACTAATAGAAATCCTTTTCTTTCTATACTTATGTAGATAATATGCAACGTTTTAAGAAGTGTTTGAAGCAGTTTTCAAAGAATAACATTTTTGGGAATGTCTTCATATATGTATCTATGACTACCTGTTTCTTTCTTTTGTTGTTGTTGTTGTTGAGCTGGAGTTTCACTTTTGTTCCCCAGGCTGGAGTGCAATGATGCCGTTTTGGCTCGCTGCAACCTCCACCTCCTGGGTTCAAGTGATTCTCCTGTCTCAGCCTCCCAAGCAGATGGGATTACAGGCATCTGCCACCACACCCGGCTAACTTTTGTATTTTTAGTAGAGATGGAGTTTCACCTTTTTGACCAGGCTGGTCTCAAACTCCTGACGCGAGGTGATCCACCTGTCTCGGCCTCCCAAAGTGCTGGAATTACAGGTGTGAGCCACCATACCCAGCCCGATTACCTTTTTTAAAGGTATATATATTTTTTAAGATATAATTTTTAAGCATAGTGGTGCTCAAATGACACTTTAGAAAACATACTAATTTACAATGCCATAAATTGGTTGAAAAGACAGCCACTTCATCTCTTTCTAGAATATGCTGGCTTTTATAAATTTTATAATTTTTTAATGTTTTTAGTATTTAAATGGTGACTTTTATTTAGATTTACACTTTTTTAATTTCTAGAAAGGTTAGACAATTTTAAGTTTATAGAAAAGGCCTAAATCACCAAACATTAATTTATTAGTACAACTATGTGTAAACATTGATAATTTATTTAATCAGACAAATAGCAACAAAATGTGTACCTATGGCAACCCTGTTAAAAATGATTTTCAGAAAAAAGGCGCCTTGGGAGAAGGCGCTCGGCGGGGCCTCCTTGGGCCCCGGGCGCGGCGCGGCGAGTGGGAGCCAGCGCGCCAGGAGCCCGAAGGCGCCCTGCTCCTGCTGGTCCTCGGCTGGCGCGCGGCGCGGGAGCAGCCCGCAGCCCACCTCCCGCGCCCCCTGCGCCCGCCGGCCGCCCGTCGGGAGCAGCCCCTCGGCAGCCCGCGCAGGCCGCCGGCCCGGGAGAGCGCGCGGCAGCGGCGGCGGTAGCGGCGGCGGTGGTGGCGGGACGGCCCCGAGCGCGCCCTCCCGCCCGCGGCCACTTGCAGCCGGCGCTGGCCCGGCTGGCGCGCCCCGCAGGCGGCCGGAGCGCGGCCTCGGCCTCGGCCTCGGCGCGAGCTAGCCCCGGGCCACAGCCTGCGAGACGCGGCGCGGGCGGCCGAGGGCACTGACGGCGTCGCGGGGCGCTCCCGGGCGGCGGCGCAGCGGCAGCGGCGGGCGCCCCCAGCCAGGATGCTGCGGTTCCTGCGCCGGACCTTTGGCCGCCGCTCCATGCAGCGCTACGCGCGGGGCGCGGCGGGGCGTGGGGCCGCCGGGCTGGGGGACGAGCGCGACGGGGGGCCGCGGGGGGGCCCGGCCGCCGCCTCCTCGGCGCTGCCCGCCGCTCCCGGGGGCAGCGTGTTCCCCGCGGGCGGCGGGCCCCTGCTTACGGGTGGCGCGGCCGTGCACATCTCCGCCGCCGGCGCCGCCAAGGCCACCCTCTACTGCCGCGTCTTCCTGCTCGACGGGACCGAAGTGAGCGTGGACCTGCAGAAACATGCCAAAGGCCAGGATTTGTTTGATCAGATTGTGTACCACTTGGACCTTGTGGAAACAGATTACTTTGGCCTCCAGTTCCTTGACTCTGCCCAGGTCGCGCACTGGCTGGATCATTCCAAACCCATAAAAAAGCAGATGAAAATTGGACCTGCTTATGCTTTGCACTTTCGAGTTAAATACTATTCTTCAGAACCAAACAACCTTCGTGAGGAGTTTACAAGGTACCTGTTTGTTTTACAACTCAGGCATGACATTCTTTCTGGAAAATTGAAATGCCCTTATGAAACAGCTGTGGAGTTAGCTGCTCTCTGTCTACAAGTGGAGCTTGGGGAGTGTGAGCTTCCAGAGCACACACCGGAGCTCGTGTCTGAGTTTCGGTTCATTCCAAATCAGACAGAAGCGATGGAATTTGATATCTTCCAGAGATGGAAAGAGTGCAGGGGAAAGAGCCCTGCCCAGGCGGAACTCTCCTATCTGAATAAAGCGAAGTGGCTGGAAATGTATGGGGTAGACATGCACATTGTCAGGGGAAGAGATGGCTGTGAATATTCTCTTGGACTGACCCCGACAGGCATATTAATCTTTGATGGAGCTAACAAAATAGGCTTATTCTTTTGGCCTAAAATTACCAAAATGGATTTTAAAAAGAGCAAATTGACACTTGTGGTTGTCGAGGATGATGATCAGGGACGTGAGCAAGAGCACACATTTGTGTTCCGGTTAGACAGTGCCAGGACCTGCAAACACCTCTGGAAGTGTGCGGTTGAACACCACGCGTTCTTCCGACTGCGGACACCGGGAAACAGCAAATCCAATAGATCCGACTTTATCGGGCTGGGCTCTCGCTTCAGATTCAGTGGGTGGACAGAATATCAAGCGACACATGGCTCCAGGTTACGAAGAACCAGCACGTTTGAGAGGAAGCCTAGTAAACGTTATCCATCCCGGAGGCATTCAACGTTCAAAGCAAGCAACCCGGTGACAGCAGCCCAACTCTGCTCTAAAACAAATCCAGAAGTCCATAATTATCAGCCTCAGTATCATCCTAATATCCACCCCAGTCAGCCCCGGTGGCATCCTCACTCTCCAAATGTCAGGCCATCCTTTCAGGATGACAGGTCGCATTGGAAAGCATCG